CCCACCCCCCCCCACCCCCAACCCCCCCACCCCCCCCACACACACACCACCACACACACACCACCCCCCACACCAACCACACACCCCACACACCCCACACACAACAACCACCACCACACCAACCACACACACCCACACACACCACCACACACCCCACACACACACCACAAACAAAACAAACCCCACACACACACACCCAAACACAACCCCCACACACACCAACCACACACAAACAACACCACAACCCCCACAACACCCACACCCACACCCACACCACACACCCCACACCACACCCACACACCAACACACCACCCCCACACACCCACAAACACACCACCAAACCCACACACACCACACCACCACACCACAACACCACACACCACAACCACCACACCCACACACACCCCCACACACCCACCCCACACACCCACAAAACCCCAAACACACCCCACACACACACCCCCAAAACACACCCCACAAACACCAAAAAAAAAAAAACAAACCACACACACACCACACACACACCCAAAAACAAACCCCCCCAAAAACACACAAACACCCAACCACAACCCCAACACAACCAAACAAAAAAAAAAACACCAAAACCCCAAAAAAAAAAACAAAAACAACCCCCAAACCCCCCCAAAAAACCCCAAAAAAAACAAAAACAAAAAAAACCACCCCAAAGGCAAAAACAAAACCCCCCAAAAAAACAAACCCCCAAAAACCAAAAAAACCCCAAAAACCCCCAAACAAAAAAAACCCCAAAAACCCCAAAAAAAAAACAAAAACCAAAACCCCCCAAAACAAACCCCAAAAAAATCCAACACCAAAAACAAAAAAAAACCCACAAAAAAAAACAAACCCAAACAAAAAAAAAAACAAAAAAAAACCAACAAAAACCACACACCCCAAAAAAACAAAAAACCCAAAAAACCCAAAAAAAACCCAACAAAACAACCCAACCCCTAAAACCCCCAAACAAACCACAATAAAGAAACCACAAAAAAACCCCCAACCCCTCCAAACCCAAAAAAAAAAACACAAACAACAAAAACCAACACCCACAACCCCAACAACCAAAAAAACAAAGGTTTCAAAGGGCATTTGGGCTAAGGGGGAATGTTAGGAGAAAAATTTTAACAAGACTTCATACAAAACCATAAAGCGATGGGCGGAAAACCCAATGGGTTTAAAGGGCAAGGAAGCATGGGTTAAACCATTTTAACAACCCTTGGAAACTTCAGCAAAATTTTAGAATGGGAAGTGCAATGGGTTTAGGCCCCATATTTAAGAGGGAAAAGGAAAGGGGGGCATTTAACAAAAGGGGGGGGATGTAGTTGCCCAAAAGGGAGAAAATTGGAGAAAAAAAAAACCCCCAAAAAAAAAAAAAAACCGGGAGGTTAAAGGAAGGAAATTTTTTATCCTGGGGTTTTTGAAGGAAAGAAAAAAGGAAAAGGGGAAAGGGGGGGGGAAAACGTTTTTAAGATGGAGGTTTTAAAGTTTAAAGAGGGGAGAAGATTGGGGTGGGCCAAAGAAGACCGCAGACAGAGTATAGGCTAGGTGGACAAAGACTACAGACCTCACTCAGAGAGAAAGACCTTGGGGTGACCATAACACCGAGCACATCACTGGAGGCACACATCAACCAAATAACCGCTGCAGCATACGGGCGCCTGGCAAACTGAGAATAGCGTTCCGATAGCTTAATAAGGAATCGTTCAAGACACTGTACACTGTGTATGTTAGGTCCATACTGGAGTATGCAGCACCAGTCTGGAACCCACACCTGGTCAAGCACGTCAAGAAGTTAGAGAAAGTACAAAGGTTTGCAACAAGGCTAGTCCCAGAGCTCAAGGGAATGTCGTACGAGGAAAGGTTAAGGGAAATCGGACTGACGACACTGGAGGACAGAAGGGTCAGGGGAGACATGATAACGACATACAAGATTACTGCGGGGAATAGACAAGGTGGACAGAGATAGGATGTTCCAGAGAGGGGACACAGGGACAAGGGGTCACAACTGGAAGCTGAAGACTCAGACGAGTCACAGGGACGTTAGGAAGTATTTCTTCAGTCATAGAGTTGTCAGCAAGTGGAATAGCCTAGCAAGTGAAGTAGTGGAGGCAGGAACCATACATAGTTTTAAGAAGAGGTATGACAAAGCTCAGGAAGCAGAGAGAGAGAGAGGATCCAGTAGTGATCAGTGAAGAGGTGGGGCCAGGAGCTGAGTCTCGACCCCTGCAACCACAATTAGGTGAGTACAATTAGGTGAGTACACACACACACACACACACACACACAACACACACACACACACACACACACACACACACACACACACACACATAGAGAGAGAGATATAGATAGAGAGATTGATATTTTAGTTTCTCTGTATGCCTTAGTTGATGGGTTAATGTAAGAAATGGAAAATGTAATTTAGCTTAAAGGATTGGTGATAAAGTTGAATAAAACTGAAGCATTTAAGGAAAAACATACAGATGCTCTTAATGAACTGGAGGGTTATAAAAGTGAGTGTACATTGATGTGTAGCATTGTAGCACGAAGGCCAAGAATACTAATCATGTATGTATAAATAATGTACGGAATAAGACAGGCATCAGAATGCTTGGAGTAAATTTGCAGTAAAACGCAAAAAGGTATTAGGGTAGGGATGGTGTTAAAATGATAGAAAATACTTATGAAGGAGACACAGAGCACTGACTGGGTATTTATTATAGGTGATATTGGAGCCTTAGCAAGCTTGCTTTCAGCCAATTGGAATTCCATACATTTTGACCATCTTTGCTTGATATAACCAATAGTGCTTCATTGCGGGTTAATAACTCAGAGATCAGACAGCAATAAGACTTTTTCAGTAAATCACTTACAGTGAACACACTCATTTTTGTGTATGTAGGAGGGATATTTTCCTATTGTAATCTGACAAAATAGTGGCCATATCAATTTCTTTATAACCAGTGTCTTCAGTGCTCATAAATCATTAGGCTCTAGTAGTCCTTGGATCATGAATTCAACTCAGTAGTAGTGTCCAAATCATTTGACAACTAACCTGTCTTAAAATAAATTGTGCTGTTACATTGATTAGTTGGTTAAATTGGTAGCTCTGCAAAGAGATCTGGCATTCACTTGAGCGTGTTACTTGTAAGTGCTAATTACTCCTAATTACTTGAGTTTTCAGTAGTTTATCTAACTCGAAAGAAGTTTTTCATGTTACATTTTAAGTCTTTGTAATCAGTTTTTGCTATACCACTGTCTAATTCATTCAGTTTATTTACTATCACTGTATTATGCTCAAGAAGTTTTGATGTCTTTGTCTCTGTTAGGTGAGCATTTTACATTTGTGACCTTGTTTCAGTTTTCTTCTGCTACAGGGAACAGGTGTGGAGTACGATTACTCATAGTTTGTTTTCCTTGTCTGATTACTTAAGCTTTCTCTCTAGCCAGGTTTTATGCAGTCTTTGGTCTCCTTTCTCTGTCTCCCAGTGTTATTAGTTTGCCTTTGTTGGGTTTAAATTCTAGTGCTTCTTATTTGACCAATCTTTTAGTTTATCCAGTTTTTTTGCAGCCTTGTACATATGTATCCCTCTCATGATTTTGGCATTATTTGCCAATGAGAATTAATAGGAATCCACTCTTAATGAAGGGTCATTAACAGTCACAATTACAGTTTCTTGGGAAATACTGTATTGCTATTTTCACTCTTCCATTCTGACAGTCCATTGCTTATTTTGACTTGGTCACCTGTCATTGAGGCATACCTTGGTACCCCATAATTCATGCTGGTACTCTACTTGTTCATCTGGCTTGCATCTCCAGTTTGTGGAGGTGTCTTCTGCATGTTACTGTATCAAGGCTTTTTTTTTTTTTTTAACACCAGCCGTCTCCCACCAAGGTAAGGTGACCCGAAAAAAAAAGTAAGGGGCTTCTTACAGTGAACATGTATGCAGTTTACACATTCTTCTCCCCATCTGACTCTCTCTAGATTTTTGTATATCTCGGTAAGGTTTGTAAGTCAGGTAAGTGTAGGTAAAGGAAGGTGACACATCATTTAACTTTGTTACAAATACAAGTAACTGTCTCACTTTTTTTGTATATGCAGTATTTAATACAGCATACTGTTTCCCACTTTCCATGAGGGCATCAAGTATAAGAGTCTTTTACAGGTACAGTATGCTATTAGTACACAGTTCCATACACTCCATGTACTATTCTCATTCAAATATTCCCTCACTTTATAATTCCACATTTTATTTTTGCTTTCCTATACTTCCCTTGATTTCAGTCATTGCTGTATGACCGTGCGTGCACACCCGTGCACATATATTTCATACATGCATTCATTCATAAATTTATTCATGCATTCATTCAAACATGCATTATGCATACATACTAATAAATACATGCATGCATGAATGCATACATACATAACATATACATACATACATGCATTCATACATACATAACATATACATACATGCATTCATACATACACATTCATAATACAATTTTGAGTCATATATGGCCATGCTACCATAATAGTTTATCCTGTTGCTTACACTTATTTCTCAAACTTTTCTGTATTCCATACATTAAGTTTTTATTAATTTGTAATTCAATTATTTTTAAAATATTGTCTGTTGACCGGGTACTACAGAATATTTTTTTCTATTAAAAGATTTGCAAGAATTTTTGTTTTTTCTTTGAGTTAAAGTTCTGGCTTAGATCTTTGCAAATATTAGTTTCTTTTGTTGATATTGACTATTTATCTTTGTATTGTAAGATGTTTTGAGAAAAATTAATGCCATTATGTTGCTCTAATTACAGTGTTTAATTAAAATTTTGTATTGCTAATTGTACATAGTTAGGGAAATATAATTTTTTTTAAACATTTCATCGCTTGAAGATAAAAAAAAATCTTAATATGTTTAAGGGTAAATTAACTTTGTCTAATTTTTTATATATTCCTCCAACTGCAGATGAAAAGTGTCGACCCATTAAAGAGGTTGTTGAATTCCCACCTCGAGATATCTTGGTACCACATTACTATTACAGGAACCTTCTTTTTATATCTCCTAAGGATCTCAATTTCAACAATAGACCAGGTAAGATATTTTACAGTACAATAGATTGTGATAGACAATTATGATTTTTTTACTTTCTCACAATAACCAAAATCTGTAAAGCCTGCATTGTAATCCTTATAGAGAATATACTTAGATTTGATTGATTGAAATAATTAAGCAGCAAAACCCCTGTATTTGCTACATCTCTATTCACTGACTTTTTTCTTTTGCAAAAAAAGTGTCAAAAATTGTGCCTCATCCTTAATACAAGAGAATTGTTGTTAGCTTTTTTCATTTTCTCTTAGCCTGGTGCACAACCCTTAAATTGTAATTTAATCATAAAATTTTGTTCTGAATATTCTCTCTGGATTTTGCATGCTCAGATACATTGTACATGTATGTGTATATTTTTTCTTTCTTTCTTATGGCTATCAGTATTAACCGGAGTAGAGCAATATTTAGAGAGAGATGTCCAGAAAGGAAAAATCAAACCTGCATTAGGATTTTTATGAAGTACGTATTCAGAATGAATTTCTTACACCTGAGACTGTTGTTGTCTTCTTAGAAAAATGAATTTGAAAGCAATTATAATTCACATGGTGAGTTTTTCAACTTTTTAATGTTTTCCAAAATAATTGCTTTTTTTTTTTGTATAGATATTTTGATACATATGTGGCAGATTTTTTTTTTGTTACAAGTTTGTTAAGAAAGGTGGAATTTTTTTTTATTATTTGGCTTTTCATTTGGCTTGGTACATAACTGCATAATTGAAAATCATCCATAGGATTTGGCTCAAAATGTATGTAGTGGGTTTCCCGTACTTATGCTCTTTCTAGACACTTCTTTTAATGTAAAAATTATTGAGGTTAGAGTGATACTTAGGACCAAATTGCAAATTGAATGGTCAAATCAGCCATTGGATTTTTGTGTGCACTAGAATCTGTTTTCTGTGGTTTGTCCTAATTATGAAAATGAATTTGAAAAAAATTGGAATGATATTTTAAGATATACAGCCATTCCCTTCATATTGGTCAGGTTCACATGATGAATTTCTAAAATTATTTGGTTTTCTATATTGTTTGCTTCTCCAGTGTAGTAATTTTTATGTGTATAATATTTTAATGCATGCTCATATATATTTTTTGGGTAAGATTTTTTAAGTGCCCATTTTCATCAACATTTGGATCTTGTTCGAAATGTGTTCACTGGGTTTCTCATGCTCAAATCTCTCTCCATATTGACTTTATGATTGTCAGTTTTTATAAGATTAGGGCAATATTTAAAGAGTAACATCCTGTAATTGATGTAAGAGAGAAAAATTAACATCACTGTTTTCTGGCATCTGTATGCTTGTGAGGAAGGTAGACGGCAGCGATTTCTTACTTATAACTACAGGAGCAGAGGTTACCTTGTCGTCTCCAATCTCGGCTATTGTTTAATTTTTGAAAAGTTTCCAGTGGTCTGTCATTTACTGTCTTCTCTTGTAATTCATTCGGTTGTTATTCTTCCGTGAAAAAGGCATTTTCTAGTAATTCTTTGGCCCCTCTTATTTTATAGCTGTGGCTTGCAGTTCTTCATGGTGGTGGTGCTAGAAGTCTTTTCTTTTTAATTATTCCATTGTATCCTTTGATAATCTTAACCCTTTCACTGTCGAGACCCCTGCTCACAAACTTGCTCTCGGTGTTGAAGAATTTAAAAAAAAAAAAATTCTTATGAAATGATAGAGAATCTTTCCCGATGGTAATGAAACCAAAAGTACAAAATTTGATGAAAAACTATGAAATTACGCTCTCGCGAAGTTAGCGATCTTGGTGATAAATAGGCATCAGTAATTTCACCCACTTTGATAGATAAATAAGCCGTAGAGTTGATAATTAGGGAAATTATTGAGGTATTTTGTCATGCCTCCTGAGAGCTGGAATGAATTAATTGCATTTCAGTTAATGTAAATGAGGAAAATTGACTCTTCAAATGAGCAAATCCAGATGTAAGCAAGGTCATGGAACAGATTAAACTTGTAAGTAGAGGTTCCACTGTATTTGGAAAGGACCATCTTTTTTTTTTTTTTTTTTATGAAGTTTTAGAAGTAAGGGTAGACAGCTAACATATGGCATAATGTTTCTTATTAGCCAGTTTTTGGATTTTCTTTTCACAGACAAGCTGTTCAGTATTTCGAGTGGTATTTGATAATTCACAACAAATGTTGCATTCCACTGCAACCTGATTCCTCTGTTTGGACTTTATGTGCACAAAACACAAAAATCCAGTTTCACACATACAGTGGACCCTCGGGTAACGGCTGCATCGGCTAACACTAAAATCGGATAGCAGCATGTTTTTGAGTCAAAACATTGACTCGGCTAATGCCCAAGAACTCGGTTAAGGGCATTTGTCCTGAACGTGTCCGTGCAGCCTGAGCCCATGTAAAGCCAGTGTGCCATTGTTTACAAGCCAGGGAGGACAATTCCTCTCGTACATGCGATATATTTTGTATTATTCCACTGTTTTTAGTGCTTGTAACTGCTAAATAAGCCACCATGGGCCCAAAGAAAGCTTCTAGTGCCAGCCCTGTGGTAAAGAAGGAAAGAAGCACAGTAGAATTCAAGAAAAAACTCGCAGCAAAGTACCAAAGTGGAGGAGAAACAGAGAGGGGTGAATGTGCCTTCTGCAGTGATTCAGTGATTCTGCGATATGTACGATACTAAAGCAGCAGGTATCGATAAAGGCTATAGTGCCAGCCAGCGATAAAGTGTAGAATTAACAGTGTAGCAAATAAGTTAAGCGAGTAAGCAAGTAACTCTCCAATGTTGTTGGATGTGTATCAGGCCAATGAACATACGCTGGCCTGCTACGTATCTTTCACCACCCTAAACCTCTGCCAGCATCTCCTCCATCAAACTAACTAATTAAACTAACATCTCCTCCAAGGTAAGTGTAAATATAAAAGTGGAAGTATAAAAATAAATATAAGTGTAAATATAAAAGGACCCCAATGGAAATATGTAAATCACTCTGACTTTTTTGGGTTATCCTTGGTACTTTACACACATGCCGCTGTGTATGATAATCTATGTACGTAACTGTGTTTGTGTATACCTGAATAAACTTACTTACTTATTTATAAATTAAAATGTAAATATTTCTTATTTATAAATTACATACATTATTTAACCCTTAAACGGTCCGAACGTATACAGGAAGGCCCCGCTTTACGGCGTTTCACTTTACGGCGTTGCGCTAATACGGACATTTCAAATTATGACCAAAACTCGCTATACGGCTCCCCCCACCTGACTTTCTAATACGGTCACCGTGCCCCACCCTGTTTGTTTACATTATCCATGAGCTCAGTAAGCACTAAGTCTCTCCATTTTGTCTGAAAACTCCAAAATTTCAAATGTTTTTAAAAGTTATTTCATATTTTATATATACTCTGATAATTATAGTTATGTATACCTGTACCTAAATAAACTTACATACTGTGCTGGCATGCAGGTACACATTAAAATTGGTAAGTGTCTTATGTCTCCAGACGTCATATTAGTAATGATAATAATAATCATCGAGTCATTTAAATGTCGTATATTACGTTAATATACACATTTTCATTAATCCATCCATGATATTTTTTTCAAAATTATATAATAAACACGATGCATAACATATAAATAAGATAAATACACCCCACAGTAGAATAAATAAACATAAATGTGAGATGTGGTAGCAGACGACTTGCACAAGTGACGCCATATTAGAAATAATAATAATAACAATACTCACCGAGTCTCATTAAATGTCGTATATTACGTTAATATACACATTTTCATTAATCCATCCATGATATTTTTTTCAAAATTATATAATAAACACGATACATAACATAAAAAGATGATAAATACACCCACAATAGAATAAATAAACATAAATATAAGATGTGGGAGCCACATAACTTGTACAAGTGACGGCAAGAATAACATTTTCTCTAATCTAGCATAAGAGAAAATGTGTTACTGGGGGTAACTGTAGAAAATTATTCCTTTCGTATGTATGTAAGTAAGTTTATTCAGGTATACACAAATACAGTTACATAGATTATCATACATAACAACATAGTGTAGAGAACCTAGGATAACCAAAAAAGTCAGTGTGACTTATTTCCATTGCCTTCACTCAGAGCTTCATTTCTTCTCAAAATGATGTTACATGAGAATGGGAGTGTTCTTCTTTATTAATTCTACCGTATCAATGTAGAGACAACCTGTACACAATGTAACTTGTACACAAACCAGACGTGTACACTTCGTTTGTTTACAAAACTTACGTTCGCCTGGTTTGTTTACATAACTCTGCGCCTGTCCCCTCTCATGTACTCATTCTTTCTCTCTCATTTATTCGTTTTATCTCATTTACTTACTCCTGACCCTACATTAAGACTACAAATATTTTAAGGTAAGTAATGAGTGAACTGTATATACATTTTATCGCTCTGGGATGCTTAAATATCATAGAATAGTATGTGTGGGTGGGGTGGCCTCGTATGGTAGTCCGGCTGACACCATACATACCACACTTGATTTCTTACAATAAATACTACTTGTCTCACCCTAGATTAAGACTATAAATATTTTAAGGTAAGTAATGAGTGCACTATGTGTGTATTATACTTTTTTATTGTTTTTTGATGCCTGGTTCTATTGCTAACTTAATATATGTTAGTGTAAACTTGTTATCTAGTGTTTGTATGCATTTATAAGTGGAAAAAAAGGGTGTTCCACTTTACGGCGGTTTCCGCTTTACGGCGGTAGCCTGGAACCTAACCTGCCGTATAAGTGGGGCCCTCTTGTATATACGTTCATGCGCGTAGCGCCCCAAACGTATATATACGTCTTTGTCATTCATTCAACATTGCCACAATAAGCCTGAGTCACCTAGACATGAGAGAATGGGTGTGCGCACTCACTGTGTGCCATATTAAAATAATTGGGGATGCCTGGGTACCATATGCTCTTTTTTCCTTTTAAAAGAAAAGATTTTTTTTT